TATAAAGATCTTCGTAGAATATGTGGGAGCCAATATGAGCATCCAGGTTCCGCTATTGGTTATTGAGCGGAGATGAGTCTCGGTCATGTCTACATAGTTCCCGAACCCGTAGGTCCGCACGCTTAACGTTCGATGACGATCGGTATTATGAGTTTATGTGTTTTGATGTACCGAAGATAGTTTGGAGTCCCGGATGTGATCACGGACATGACGAGGAGTCTCGAAATGGTTGAGACATGAAGATTGATATATTGGACGATGTTATTCGAACGCCGGATGAGTTCCGGGGGTCATCGGATAAATATCGGAGTGACGGGGGGTTATCGAAACCCCCGGGGGAACTAATGGGTCAACATGGGCCTTGTGTGTGTGAGAGAGAGGAGAGGGCCCTAGGGCTGGCCGCCCCCCTCCCTTGAGGAGTCCGAATTGGACTAGGAGGGGCGGCGCCCCCCTCCCTTTCCTTCTCCCTCTCTCCCTCTCCTTCCTTCCCCTCTCTTCCCTTGTTGGAAACCTACTAGGAATAAGATTCCTATTCCTAGTAGGAACCCTACTTGGGGCGCGCCCCATGAGGGCCGGCCGGCCTCCCCCTTGCTCATTTATATACGCGGGCAGGGGCACCCTAAACACACAAGTTGACAGTTGTCTTAGCCTTGTGTGGTGCCCCCTTCACAGATTTCCACCTCGGTCATATCGTTGTAGTGCTTAGGCGAAGCCCTGCGTCGGTAACTTCATCATCACCGTCATCACGCCGTCGTGCTAACGAAACTCTCCCTCGGCCTTAACTGGATCAAGAGTACAAGGGACGTCACCGAGCTGAACGTGTGCAGATCGCGGAGGTACCGTGCGTTCGGTACTTGATTGGTTGGATCGCGAAGACGTTCGACTACATCAACCGCGTTACTTAACGCTTCCGCTTTCGGTCTATGAGGGTACGTGAACACACTCTCCCCTCTCGTTACTATGCATCTTCTAGTAAATCTTGCGTGATCGTAGGAATTTTTTGAAATACTACATACCCCAACACGGACGGCACTGTCCTATTGTTGCTTGAATTTTGCGAGTCGAGCCTCCCCCGCCTCGCGCTAGGACTACTCAATGGAAATCCAGAGCACCTTGGCGTTCTTCTGGCGGAGCCGCCACGCGTCCGTCTCCATGATCGTAAGCGACCGGCGGTAGACCCAATCGAGGAGCTGTGCATCCTCGTCGGGCTCCGCTTGCATCCTGTGGCGGCGGCGCACAGACTGCTCCGCCTCCTTCCTTTCCCTTTCCCATTGCCTCTCGTGGCAGGTGGCGCGCGCCTCTGATTCCGGCGTACGCGTCCGTGCCGGCGGGGCGGGCACAAGCACCTACCACTGCTCATGTGGGGGAGCAGCAGTGTTAGTGGGCAGCGGACGACGTAGGGTAGGCACGAATTACGCAGGCATGTCGGAGCTACGCACGGGCCGGGAGGGGCCAGCGCTGGCGAGGGAGCTGCATCTGCGGCGATGCTACAGATCCGGAGCTGTCTCCGGTCTCCACCTTGGACAGGTCCAAGGCGATGTAGAGGGCCAGCTCAAAGTCGGGATCGAGCTCAGAATCAGAGCGGCTGCTGGAGCTCGACATTGCACCGGATTCGATCGGAATCGGTGCGGGGAGAGGAGAGGACGGAGTGAGAGAGGAAAGTGTGAGTGAACTAGGGATTCAGAGCCCGATGGGTTTTTTATAGGACAGCCGTGTGGATTGTTGGTGGGCAGAACTTGTTAGGAGGACGCGCCCGGATGTGCCCGGGCCGCCCTATGTCCGCCCCATATTTGGGCTGGATATGAGTGGCGCCGGTCAGTCTGGACGTTTGAGGATGGTTCAATGCGCCCGGATCCGGCTGGGTCGATTTTTTGTGACCGGTCAGCTCGTCCAGACGTTTAAGATAAATTTGGGCCGGTCGGCTGTAGATGCTCTAGCAGGGCCATTAACAAACTTCCATTTTTCACAGGAAAAGAAAAAAAAGACAGGCTCTTGTTTCCGACGGGATGTACTACGTAGGTTCATTACACGCTAGACAGATCGTGAATCCCCCAGATTTCGATCCGTAATCAATAGGCATGAATGCGCGTATCGGGTCCAAATCAATTCACATACGGCCGGATTTCCCACAACGACTACTACTACCACCCCCACCTTCCTCCCTGAACCCCCCGTTACACGTCCAATCCTCCACATGCCCCCGCGCCGTGCAGCACGGCAGGAGGCGCGACAAGGGAGACGATACGGCCGGCGGCAAGTACCGCTAAATTCCGTCCTCCGCAGCGCGCCCGTTGGCCGCCTGGCCATGCCATGGCCCATGGCGGCGAGCACGAACGAGCGCGTCCTCGGCGGCGGTACTGCCTACAGTGGGCGCACGGTTGGTGAATCGCCCGTCCGTCCGCCGCCCCTTTGATTTCCCTGGCCGATGGATCGGTCGGTGTGTACTCGGCTGGCCCGTATGCGTCCGCCGTACCACTACAGATCGCTGCGTCCATATTTGCGCTGTTCTAGGACCGCGACGGACAATTGGGACTTGCAACGCAGTTAATACAGAGCAAAGTACTTCACGAGTTCAGTGCAAAATCGTACGTACTGCTGTACATATGAATGCGAACGGTCTGAATCAGCGCCAACACACGACGTCCGCCCTGCCTTTTCTGAATCTGAAGGATCTGCAGCAGGTTCACTGTCACTCTGGATTGATCCTAGGTTGCTGCTAGTGGAGTAGCAGATTCATTCAGGTATGCTGCTGCTGTCACTTTGCATGCTCTGCCTGCCATGGCAGGCAGGAGTAGACAGTTGTGTCTTGTGTGCGTTTATCCGCAGGAAATGGAGGGATTCTGCCACTTGTGGACTCCATCCAAAGCAGAGCCACCCACAGTTTCAGTGCCACCCCTAGCTCAAAGTGAGTACTGTAGTATAAAATACACTTATGGCCATTATTAACCCAGCGTGCGCGGAATGTTTACTGCTTGGGGATCCCCACCTTCTCCTCCTCCTCCTCCAGAATCCCCAGGCAAATCACCGCGTTTTCTATGCGCCTCTTGTCGAACGGAACGGACCCCTTTTCACCGTACCGTCGCTGACACAAATTACCGGCGATCGACGACAAACAAACAAACGCGCTGCCAACCCCGGTGGATCGGCCGATCGATCTCATCTCCACCACCTTCATGATCCCACCCCCACCACCTTCCACGGATCTGGGCTTCGTATTGTAGAACTGTAAAGCTTATTTTATGATGCTCGCAACGTGCCCGATCATGCATGCTCCCCATCACACCACCCTCCCTCTCTCTCCTGCACGTTGTGTCGACTTTTTATTCGTCCAATCACGGGCGCACTGCCAGTGTTATTTCAGCTCCAACAGCATGCTCTTTCTTCGTTAGCACACCACTGTTCTTCTGGATTAGTATACATAATCCTTCACACACACACACGCTCACAGTGCGGACGAACGTAAGAAAATACAGTTCAGATTGCCGTTAGCACCGGCAAAGCGTCAGGCTAGCAAAATACAGTTCTAGCACCGCAAGAAAAGTTCAGTATTTTCCAAAACTGAACCCGAGCTAGAGCCTACAACGAGCTGATATTTTCCATATCGGGCTACACGTACGAGCCCCCACACGCAGGGTGCAGAAGTTACCAATGAGACGAGGTCACACGAGAGCCGGGGCCCGCCCCCACACACCACGAGTTTCAGTGCAAAATTAAAGCCAGCAAACAGCAGTGTGCGTGCGTGCGTGTGGCGTAGTTCGTCTCAGTTCTGTTTCAAAAAAAAAAAAAATCGTCCCAGTTCCCGGCGAGCCGAGCGCCTGGCACCGAATCCAAGCGGCATCTCTCCCTCCCTCCCTGCTCCCATCCTACTCCTAGTTTTTACCAACCTACTGACTGACCCAGATCCCGATGCAACTAACATTCCTTAATGCCCCCTCCCCCTACCCCCCCCTCCCACCGTGCACGGCATGATGCACCCATGTGCCATGGATCCAGACCCAGCGGCGCTTTGTTTAGTTTAACCGCTCTGATCACTAATCATTCACGCGCAGGTTAATCGCCACCTGCTCCATCTAACCCCCTTTTTAACCGCGACGACGGCAGAGGTGGGGAGACAGCGGTAACTTCCCTCCCCTTCTTCCCTGGGCGTGGGCGATCCGCGCGCTGTGCCTCGGCCCCGGCACCGGGGTCCCCCATCTCCCAGCCAAGCCTTCTTTCCACGGCACGCCATGCCGCCTGCCGCCTGCCATGGAAGCCTCCACTGCAGACTGCCTGCCTGTACCGTCTGTCTGCACTGCACTCTGCACCGAAGCATCCATCCATGCCATGCCATGCATGGGCGCTGAGCACTGGAGATTTTTCCATAGCCTGCATGTCTGCTCACTTGCAGAACTACCTAGTAGCTACGCAACGATCTGCATAACCGCATAACGTGTGCATTTCTTCTCGCAGGACCAGTGCAATGGATAAGATGGAATCATGCATGCATGGACGGAAACGGCAAAGAGAGACGGTTCACTCACTCAAATCAAATTATAGATCTGCAGCAAGAAGCTGCTGCTGCTGCTACATGCTGCTGACGACGATGTACAGTAAAAAATCCAGGCAAATACAGGTAAGGTAATCAACTACAACTACTACTAGGTGGCAATTACAGTAAGGGACTGATCGATCGAGGGATCCGTCCTGTCAACCAAGAAGATAAGTACCAGTAGGGGAAGTAAAACTGCTACTGCTGCTGGGAAAAATCAGGATTAAGGAGGTGAGGTGATAATGGTGGGAATATGTGAGCGAGCGAGTGAGTGAAAGAAAAAGTTGTTGTTGATGAATCGGTGGTTGGTTGGTTGGTTAGGCTATAATGCTTCTTTTCTTCTTTCCGGAGCATCTTTTTCCCTTGGCCTTTCTACACGGCCGGCCGGCCGGCCGGCGCCCCAGCTCTACAGTGAGTAACTTTCTAGCTACGGCTTCTCTCCCCCCTTTGCACGCCCGCTTTCGTCGCCTGCCTAGCTGCTGCTCACCGCCGGGGTCCACTCGTACCGGCCGGAGCCGAGCGGCACGCCGCGGGCCACGTCGAAGTTGTACCTGGCCACGGAGAGAGAAAGCTCTCACGTTAGAACTCCGGCGACGAAGTGGAGAATTAGAGTTTCCGCTGCTGCTAAAAGCACTTACTTGCAAGCGAACCGCCTGGCCTCGGCCTCCTCGGCGGCCGCGAAGAACTCCTCGATCTCGGCCGCCGGCGGGACCCTCGACCTCGCGGCGGGCTGGGCCTGGGCGGTCGGCGTTTGCGGCAGCGACGACCGGCCGCTGTTCTGCCCCGCCAGATCCGACTCCAGGTCGCTCAGGTCGCCGGGGAAATGGCTGGACGGCGTCGTCTCTCGCCTGAATTTTCAAAAACGGCGAGCGGGACGGGGTCAGGAGCACGGCAGGAGGCATAATTCACAAGAATTCGCTGGAAAGAAGACGGAATTCGATTTCGCACCTCTCGCGGTTGCCGCCGCTCTCCGCGTTGTTGCTCGCCGAGCCCTCCGGGGCGCCTGCCTGCAGAGCGGAGAAAGACACGGGTTTCAGTAAAAAAGGAGATCTCGAATCGTATCCGAATTCTAGGGTTTGGACCCAATTCCCTCACCTTGTTGTTGGCAGCGGCGTCGGAGCCGCACGAGGGCAGGCTCCTGTCCTGCGCCGCGGCCGACGCGTCCACGGACGACGCCGTGCTGGAGCAGCGCGACAGGCCGGCCGGGAGCGGCGGCGCCGGCCCGTGCCCGGCGGCAGCCCCCGATGCGGGCGCCGGCGGGGCCATGAACAGCATGCGGCTCCGCAGCTTCAGGTAGCAGCTCCAGCCCTGGGCGCGAGCGAGGGACGACGAGGCCGACGGCGAGCCGGGCGGCAGCGGGCGCCTCCTCTTGGAGACGACGACGTTGGCCGCGGCCGCGCGGGACCGGGTGCGGACGCCGACGGCCTGCGTGACCTCCACGCCGCCCACCGCGCCGTCCTCCGCCCTGCACTTGCGCATGTACTTCCCCATTGCCCCGCGCTCCGCCCCACGCCGCTCGCCTTTGGCCGTTTGCGTCTGCAGCGCGGCGCCGGTGGGTGGGAGGGAGGGGTATGATGCCGCTGGGCTGCTCTTTGGATTCTCTCCCCCGTCCGGAGTGCGCCCCGTGCGCGTGGGTGCGTACGCATATAACACGCCAAGGGGGGAGCCGGGGGATCGGGTCCCGATCCGACGGCCAGGACCGCCCGACGGCGCCGTCAGCCGGATCTGGCCCTCGCCCCTCGAGCCGTAACGCCGTTCTGCAGACCCCCAACGGAACGTGATCATCACGGGAATGGCCTTTCCGGCGGGCGGCCACGGACGGACGAGATTGCCCCCGGTCCTCCCCGGGCGCGACACGTGGGCCGGGCCGGATCCGACGGCTCCCGTCGCGCCTGGGCGGGGGTTAAGATGGATTTGAAACTGATGGCAGGGGGGTTAATTCGACGTTCGGATTTGGAGAGGGCCGTTGCATGCGTGACTTGCGCTTGGACGGATGAGGGCCGGGCCCGCGGGCGGGCTTGCCGGAAGAGAGAAAGAAACAGAAATTTACAGATGGGCTGGCTGGTGGGCCTCCCCTCCCTGGGTGCTGGGTGGGTTGTGGGTTCTGCCCTGCAACTGCGGGCGGATCGGATGGTAACTGTCGAAAGGCTTCCCCGGAAAAGCGTGGGGGTCGGCGGCAGGTTCAGATTCCGTCTGCCGTCGTCGTCGGCCGCGCGGTGACGTGTGTTGCGCACCCCCTGATCTGCTTTCGGCCCTCGGCCTCGGGACGCCCGTCGGCTGGGTCTGCCTGCAATCCACTCCACTCCACTCCACACGTGATGATGCGAGCGGCGGTTGAAGCCGAAGGCTGCGTACGAGGATCGCCGGTAGCGGCAGGTATTGTCAGGCTTGCTTTCTGCGAAGTGGTTAATTCAGTTAAGTGAAATGGCAAATGTGTTCAGATGTGGCCAGCCGTGTAACGTAACGAAAAAACTGCATCGACCAGCGCGGCAGGTTCGCGGAGTACCGTACGCGGGACGACATCGCAGGTCGGTCGCCGCACCGGCGGCTTTGGCAGGGAGCCCCCGGATCTACCGCCCCTTGGCAGGCGCGTGGCGTGAGTTCGGTGGCGCGCGGGCCAGGCGCGCACGGGCCGCGGTGCCGCCGGTGGTTGATCGTCGCGGGGGGTCGGCCACGGTGATATTTTTGGCATACTGACGACTGGTGGATGGATGCCTGGTTGCGCGCAGTGCCTGGTCGTGTGCGTGATCCATGAATATATATTTTTATCTCCCATGTGAATATGAGTTTAGAACTTACAGTTTTACATGTTTATAGAAAATGAACTTTTGCAACAAGCATGTTTGGTTGTAGAATTCTCTGAAACGTTGAAACATGGTTTTCACGGAGTTGCCAAAGTAACTTAGTTTCTATCAGGTACTTTCTCGCGTCGCCCCGCTGGGTAGTCGGCTGAGTCGCCACCCAATTTCCCTCCGCGTCAGACCCCACACTCTCGTCGTTACTGCTGGATACCAGTTGGCCAAGTCTCCTCGGCCGGGTACGTTGCTGGGCTTTGGGTTGAAGAGAACCAGGAGCTCCGACCCCTCTCTTGGCATCAGGCATGTCCAAAAAGTCTTATGAATGCCCTAGGTTTGATCTCAGAGGTGGCATGAAACTTTGGGTTTGTTGAAGCTCCGGATTTTGCCCATAGGCTCCACTTTTTGGCAAAACCAGATCGTTTTGGTCG